CAGAATAAAGCATTATAGAAAGAGAATGTCTAAATGCAAAGCGATGAACTATCGGCATTCGTATATTTAAAATTCAATCATTGTAAACAAGTAAAATCTGTAGTTGGAATTAACATAGGAAACATAGAGATCGTTTCAATTCCTACTGTAACGATTCATCTGATCTGAACTCATGATCTGAGTTGTGTTAGATCTGATCAGGATAACATAGAAGTGAATTCTCTATGAATGGAAAAATTTCAAAACATCTACTGTATCCAGGATTATCGAATATAATATTTTTTATTATAATCTTCTGTTTTTCATTTATAAAGCACAACAACTACAACGACCAGTACGTCAAGCACTACAACAACTACCCTGACTACAACTACATCACCACCAAATCCATGTAAGTAAAATAATATTCTAGTCAATAATCTTATCATAACTACAAAATTATAATTTCTTACCTTGACCATACAAAATAATCAAGAAAATAACTTTTCGTATATTATAATATCATTAACATATTGACTATTTGTAAATTTCAAAAAAAGAACATACAAATTATACTATGAATTTTGCATACTAAAGTCAATAGAAGAAGATATAAAAGATCATCACAAATCATACAATTGAATAAAAATTTATTTTTAATCTCTAAAATTAATATTACTATATAGCAAATGTATGCATAAATTAACTAACATTAATCTCTTAAAATATATAAAAAAGATGATAAAATTAAATATTATTATCTTTCTTCTTATGTCATTGTTAGGTAGTTCGGGTGCCTTACGTTGGAATACAACAGCTACAACTGTACTTAGTTCATCACAAATATTATCACCTAGTGGTATGTATATTGATTCAAGTAATACATTGTTTGTAGTGGATGAAACTCCTAATGCTGTCGTATGGAAACTATTATATAATGCTGGAAGTGCTACTAATGTAGCTGGAGTATATCAATCAATTAGTTCTGCTTCAAATCGATTCAATTATCCTCAAGATGTTTATGTTGATCCAAGTGGAAATATATATGTAACTGATTATTATAATTATAGAGTACAAAAATTTGCTAGTGGATCATCAACTGGAACCACTATTGCTGGAATAACTCTATCAGGTGGATCTGGATTATCACAATTTAATGGTCTTCGACATTTGACTGCTGATTCAAATGGTACATATATATATGTTACTGATTATAATAATCATCGTATTATGCGTTATTCAACAAGTTCAACATCAGGAACTAATGGAGTTCTTATGGCTGGTAATAATGGAGCTGGTAATTCAAATACAACATTATATTATCCATGGGGTATTCATTATTTGCCATCTGTAAGTAATGATTTGTTTATAACAAATTATTATGGACATACAGTGATGCGTTGGACACCTAGTGCATCATCAGGCTATTTTGTAGTTGGAGTGCCAGGTGTATCAGGTCAAACTCCTACTTTACTCAATTATCCTATGGGTGTTAAAATTGATACTTATCTGAATATATATGTTGCTGATACTAGTAATAGTCGAATACAATTGTTTTGTGCTAACAGTCAAACTGGAATTACTATTGCAGGTACTGGTCAATCTGGTAATAGTGCTACACAATTGAATGCACCAGAAAGTGTTGCATTCGATTCAGCAATGAATCTTTATGTTGCTGATGCAGGAAATTCTCGAGTTCAAAGATTTATCAAACTTTAAACTTTTAGATATATTTTATCAAGAATATGACTGAATTTTATTTTTATTGCGTGAAATTTTATTGTATAAGCACCTTTTATCATTATTATAATTTGCTTAGATGCACTTTAGTGTGACAATATTTTTATTCAATTGATTTTATTTATTTATTTTTAATATTATAAGCATGAAAATGAAATTTTATTCTTGAAAAAATAATTCAGATTTTAGAAACGATGACTTAGAACATTTTGTTTCATAATTAGAACGAGGAAAATCAGATTTTTTTTATGATTCATTAAAATATTTAATTAATATTATTTAAAGAATCATCTATTCTATTGATCGTATAACATTATGAAAATCAAAAGAAAAAGTGAGCGAACACCAACTTGCTCATACATTATTCAAAGAAGATTTTCTCAATAAATTATTTTCCACATCATCATCTATCTATTGTGTCGTGTTGTATTTTTCATCATCATCATTGAAAAAACATCAATACATGAATCTTTATCAATTATTAAGGTGTGAATGTGAATCTAATTTTCACTTACATCCACACATCTAAACACTTTCGTAGTATTCGGGGTGCCCAGAATATCGTCAATATGTCTTTGATCTATAGGATATTCGCCAACACACCTCCTATAGTTTCGCCAATGGACGATTGTTATTGATGTGATGTTCATAGATTTTGAAGCATGCTTGAGAGGTATTCGTAGAAAAATTTTGGCTTCGATCATTCGAATCTATTTTCGGAACTGTTCGAAATTGGTGTTCGCAGATGTTTACATACTATAGAAATGGTCTTTTCGTATTGTCACTATTAAGTTTCGAAATCTAAAGTTGGATGTGGGTGTATGTCTACTCTTATTTATTGATGATTTATTGACGTTTTATCCAAGTATTTTTATTCACAAATTCATTTTTTTACTCAATTAATGAAATATTTATTCGCATCAAATTTGTTTTATACTCGCTTTTATTATATTTGTAAAATACATATATGAAAACAGTGTACAAGTATCTGCAAAAAAACTTGGAAACCTTCTTCCACAGATATCTTCTTCTATACAAGTGCTCTTCGAATTGTTTTATAGTGTGGTAGATAGCCCACGACGAGTACTATACAATAGTATAATTTCATATTCTTTTGATTGACTTATAAAAAAGATATTATACAAATATCTCGTTTCTTTGGCCACATCAGAATTATTTGTCATGAATATTTCAACTTTTTTGACTCTTTCATCTAAAAAATGTTGGAGTTCATCAGTCTTTTCATTTTTATACTTCTTGGCCTATTGTACACTTCGTTCTTTTTCATCCGATATTAATATATGAGTAGATTGAGGTAAAACATTTTTATAGCCACATTCATGAAGGTCACGACTAATCGCTGATGTCGATACTGATTTGTGATGTATTGTCGACAACTTGTTTTTATTTCTCTAAGACTTATTTCATTATTATTAGATCGAATGTATTGACCAATAGCTTTTCTTTCTTTCCACCAAGGACACATAGTCGACCATTTTCACGTCGATGTTTAAGTGAACTTAATCTGTCAATATTGTAATAGATAGTCCTCAGTAGAATGTTAGTTTTACGATGAATACAAGGAACCGATCGTATGCCCTTGTTCCAATAATACAAAACTGAAATATGATGACTTTTTAAGTTACTGGTTGCTGGCATAATTGAATAAATATATATCAAAAAGGAAAAAAATCACACTTCTATACATACAACGTGTAGTATGTCTGTCGAAGGTTTAGCCCTCAAAAAATGACTTTTGTAGTTATTTATAATAGTAGAGAAAATATTTTAAGAAAAAAAAAATTTTTCAAGTTTTTTGCAAACACTTGTATCATCATCTGTTTACGATAATGCTGACCAGAACAGAATAGTAAGATATTTCAGGTTTATTATATAGTTGTATATAAATTAAAGTGTTGTTTTTTTTTATTATAGAATTACTTTCTTAGCTCTGATTACTACCAAATATTAAATGTCTAAATATCTATTTGACAGAACTGAAATATTGGTTCATTACCAACGTCAATACTCAATATCTCGATTTCTTTCTTCGACATATTGAACGGTTATATGCTCATACATTATTAATGCAAAGATAAATGAAGAAATCGTGGAATCATTTCTTTTGTTTCTTATCAATAAACATCGTTTTCCTCAATTACGATGTTTACATTTCACAGTATGACATAATGTTGACCATTGGATTGATTTTATTCTTACTCGTATTAGTGAACATCAGCTAGTATGCGTAGACTTCGATTTTATTGAAACAGTACACGAAACAACTGAGTTACATACGAGTGATGAAACGATCACAATTCATAATCTATCATGTACTATTAATATTCATCGATATGTCACATTATGGATGAAACGAAGAAAGAAATAATTCTCGTAAATGAATAAATTTTTACAGATGTTTGATAGTCTTTAGACTTCGATGTAAATTAATTGTTGTTCAAATAAAATGAGTAGATTCAAATAAAGAAACTTCATTTTGAATTATATTTGTCGATAATCCAATAGAAGATGTTGTTAACATTAAAGTGTATATGATATATTATCATAAGAATAGGTGTGAGTGAAGACTAAAGAAAGACCTCACCCACACTCATACCCTTTCTTTGATTCTTTATATTGTGTGTCTAGTACGACACAAGCACAGCACAAATTTGTATATGGATCCATTTTTCAATGAATACAGACTTTTCTTGAAATAACTGTGCAATTTTTCGTTGTAGTTTTCGATAAATGTCGACAGGTATAAGAACAAAATTCATTTTAATCTAGTAAAATTGTAATTCATAGTTTTTCTTTGTATTACTTATTAAATGTAACCATGACAGTCAATAGTCAATTAAGATATTCATTCATTTTTTTCTTTTACAGTTATTTTCAGAAAACAAATATTCATACTTATTTTGAATTCTTGCAATAAAATCATCACGAGACTTTAGTGAATATTTGAACAAGAGCAAGCCATTTTCTCAGTAATTTTATAATGTACATTCATTATTTGCACAACTTTTCTTTTTTTTTTAGCATCTCTATTGTAGACCATTATAATTGATTGACTGAAATTCTGTTATATATAAAACAACAATGTAAAAGCATTTTATTGTTTTCTCTCTCGTTCTTGACACTCCTTTGTCAAATAATTTATTTGAGAAACAAGACACTTCAGATATTGATGATAGATGCAGCAAAAACAATAAAGAAAATGCTCTTACATTTTTTTTTCTACATAAAATTTTTTTTTTTTGTCTGTTTTATTTTATAATATGCCTCATGCTAGTGATATCCATGGTAAATATATTCCACATCATACAAATAAAATATATGTCGTAAGTATTTCAAATATAATTGATTTGTTATCTCATACTATATTTAAACTAATGATTTAAATAATATTTAAGGTTAATTCAAATTTTATTTCAAACATTAATTTTAAAATAACTGAACATGATCCATAATTTTGCTTTTAACTTAATTTTCATTCTCTTCATCAGATTGTTCATGTTTTTTAATTTTGAATAAAACAGAAAAGAAATCATATCTATACTTTCAATCATTTGAAATCTTTCATATAATAACTAAATTCTAATGATTTTATTTAGGATGATCGACCATTTCATAATACCTATAATACTTCGAGTTCAGATGAGTTAATAACATCACGTTCAAGCGCATCACCAGAAAAATTCGAAAATGATATTGATCAACTAGAAGACGTATCTATTAAAGAACATACTGTTCATTCTTCAGCACAAGGATTTTGGACAACAAAAAAATTAATAATTCTTATCTGTTGCCTCGTTCTTCTTGCTATTTGCATTGCTGTAGCTGTGGTTCTCGTTTTTATGCTAAGAAAAACCGATACTACTAGTAGTACGTACGATTTTTCATTTGATCATTTTAACTTCTAGATATCAATAGAGAACATATTATTCTTATTTTGTCAAGGAATAATGTTCATTCTTTCGTCATAGATTTTATGAAACATAATCTACAAGGAATATTGAAATATATAGGATAGAAATTTGGATCTACTAAATCTTCTTCCTCTCCTACACATCATGATATACGATCACAGACCGTACATCAATAACTTCTTGTTACAATATAATTAACTATTTCCTTATAGCATTTCTAGAGAAGTAAATAAAAGGTGGATGAAGAAATGTATCCAAAAATAAATAGAATGAAGGAATTTCTTTGTGATTAGCAATAGTAGCTATATTGTGTTTCACATTTTAATCCTGCAGGAATTACACTAACAACTTTTTTAATCGAAAACTTATGAGGAAATGTCTCTATAATACTTCATCAATGTTTCAACACTTAATATATAAGCTTAGTACATAACTATGTTATAATGTATTGAGAAAAATCTTATTAAAAATATTAGAGAAAATGTTTGATCATCTCATTTGAATGTTATTTATACAGATATACCAATGTCTAATTTCTAACACTAAAGATTATGTCTTTGTAGTAATTAGAACCATTCATTGTAACCAATTTTTTGAGCACTCTTTTTGTTACTATCCTGCTTTCAATCGTATTTCGTAAGGTACAGCAATAGTATTAGAAAGAGCGATAGGAGCTGGCTAAGTTTCAATCGAAGAATTGATCAAAATTAATAGCTGTTATTACCACAAATACATGATATTCAATGCGAACAATGAGGAAATTGGTGTATTCCTAGTTATTTTCAATGTTTCTGTAGGTTTAGATACGACAGATACAACGGCAACAACTACTACTGGTGTGTAGAAAGTGATCAATTTCTTAAATTACTGACAAATATTCTTATTTCTCTTTTAGCTACAACACAGACTACAACAACTGCCACGTAAGTGTTAATAATGGTCATCAGTAGAACGCACACTGTTTGAAAAATTAACGTATTTATCGATTGTTTGGTTTTCTCTTATTTGTTCTCTCTAATTCGACTACTATAAATAAATTTTCTTGAACTTTAAGACTGTTAAATACCAGCATTCGTCTGTTCATAGTCCCCATTGACGAAATTCTGTCTCTTTTAAGTTCGTATTGATCACGTTCGAATCTGTCTAGGAGATATGGATAGATTCTTTCAAATCTATCCTAGTAGTTCAAAAATTTTATAATAGAGTAAAGTCACTAATAACTCATTCTTAAAAATTCTCTTAAAAGTTTTTAAAAAACTTTTGTTTTCTCAAAACGAAGAAATAAATCATATAATTAATTTTGATTTCATCACAACAATGTACATGTAAATTCTGCTTGAACGAAAAAATTCTAAAACATTCATTCAGTTCAATATTGTTTAACATATTGCTTCTCTAAATATTCTTTCGTTTATTTATAAAGCACAACTACTAGTACAACTTCAACCACATCACCACCAAATCCATGTAAGTAAAATAATATTCTAGTCAATAATCTTATCATAACTACAAAATTATAATTTCTTACCTTGACCATACAAAATAATCAAGAAAATAACTTTTCGTATATTATAATATCATTAACATATTGACTATTTGTAAATTTAAAACAAAATAACATATAAATTATAATATGAATTTTGCATACTAAAGTCAATAGAAGAAGATATAAAAGATCATCACAAATCACAGAATTCAATAAAAATTTATTTTTAATCTCTAAAATTAATATTACTATATAGCAAATGTATGCATAAATTAACTAACATTAATCTCTTAAAATATATAAAAAAGATGATGAAATTAAATATTATTATCTTTCTTCTTATATCATTGTTAGGTAGTTCGGGTGCCTTACGTTGGAATACAACAGCTACAACTGTACTTAGTTCATCACAAATATTATCACCTAGTGGTATGTATATTGATTCAAGTAATACATTGTTTGTAGTGGATGAAACTCCTAATGCTGTCGTATGGAAACTATTATATAATGCTGCAAGTGCTACTAATGTAGCTGGAGTATATCAATCACCTAGTTCTACTTCAGATCGATTCAGTTATCCTCAAGATGTTTATGTTGATCCAAGTGGAAATATATATGTAACTGATTATTATAATTATAGAGTACAAAAATTTGCTAGTGGATCATCAACTGGAACAACTATTGCTGGAATAACTCTATCAGGTGGATCTGGATTATCACAATTTAATGGTCTTCGACATATGACTGGTGATTCAAATGGTACATACATATATGTTACTGATTATAATAATCATCGTATTATGCGTTATTCAACAAGTTCAACGTCAGGAACTAATGGAGTTCTTATGGCTGGTAATAATGGAGCTGGTAATTCAAATACAACATTATATTATCCATGGGGTATTCATTATTTGCCATCTGTAAGTAATGATTTGTTTATAACAAATTATTATGGACATACAGTGATGCGTTGGACACCTGGTGCATCATCAGGCTATTTTGTAGCTGGAGTGCCAGGTGTATCAGGTCAAAGTCCTATTTTACTCAATTATCCTATGGGTGTTAAAATTGATACTTATCTGAATATATATGTTGCTGATACTAGTAATAGTCGAATACAATTGTTTTGTGCTAACAGTCAAACTGGAATTACTATTGCAGGTACTGGTCAATCTGGTAATAGTGCTACACAATTGAATGCACCAGAAAGTGTTGCATTCGATTCAGCAATGAATCTTTATGTTGCTGATGCAGGAAATTCTCGAGTTCAAAGATTTGTCAAATTTTAAACTTTTAGATTTATTTCATCAAGTATATGACTGAATTTTATTTTTATTGTGTGAAATTTTATTGTATAAGCACCTTTTATCATTATTATAATTTGCTTAGATGCACTTTAGTGTGACAATATTTTTATTCAATTGATTTTATTTATTTATTTTTAATATTATAAGCATGAAAATGAAATTTTATTCTTGAGAAAATAATTCCGATTTTTGAAACGATGACTTAGAACATTTTGTTTCATAATTAGAACGAGGAAAATCAGATTTTTTTTATGATTCATTAAAATATTTAATTAATATTATTTAAAGAATCATCTATTCTATTGATCGTATAACATTATGAAAATCAAAAGGGAAAATGAACGAACGATAACAACTTGCTCGTTTACGTGATATATAGGCGATTTCATGAAGTTTATACCACTTTCCTGAAAGTGGTCTTGGATTTTCATTTTGATCTTCTAGTTCTTCCGAAGATAATCTGAAAAGCATCCAGCGAAAAAAAATGTGAACCTGTCCAATGAATTGTGAGCACCCGTCGAAAACACGAGGTACATGTACAATTGATTATAGTCAGATTTTTTCTATATACAGTATCATCACGTTATTTTTGACAATTTTGTTCAGTTTGCTATATTTATACAAACTCTCGGATATTTTTTTATTTTGATATAGTCGGATAGAGCTTCACTTACTCTATTGGACTATATAGTTTTTATTTTATTTATTTTGTATCTTTCTCAAAAATCTGATAAATTCCAAGAAGTGTTGAAACGAAACTTTTGCACGTTCATATGTCAGCAACAATGAGCTCAATAATAATGAAAATTGCTTTAGATGGAAGAGATTTATCACACTTCCTCGTGCAAAAAATATTAAACAAAACGAATTCGAAATTGCGGGAAAACAATAATCTTTACTATTAAAATTCGGTACACTTTTGTACTTATGAAAAATCAAGTTTATGACACTTTTCACAAAAAATTCATCCGTAAGATCAAATGTAAATCTAATGAAAACTATATAAATCAATAGAGGAATCAATGCTCTATTTCAGCTATATATCAAAGAAAAAAAAGTTTACCGCTTAAACAACCAAAATTTGTTTGAAGAAAAGTCAAATTCATATATGAAAAATATTCAAGAACACATTTCTCAGAAAAGTCGCTCAAATTTATACTAAAGATAATGCTTAAGCTCCATACAAAATACATAGTTCGGTAGAGAAAACAACAATTTATTATTCTATATAAAAATCAAACGTTTCAATATCCCAGTAAAAAAAGTAGCCATCGAAAAAAACCTACCTGAGAAATGACCTGAAAATTATTGATTAAAAAAGAATCTTTGTTTGGTGCTTTTCGAAATGCATCACATCTTTAGACAAGTTTTATAATAAATAAAATGAAAACTATAAAGTTTAATAGAGTAATCGGCGCTTTGTCCAACTATATTAGAATGATAAACTTTAAATGTTCTTCGTTTTCTTTTTTTGTAACTATAATGTTGTATGATAGTGTATTCACTTCTGTGAACAAATATGCTCTTCAATTTAGCTTATATATCAATTATTTTCTCTTCGATTTACTCTCTGTTTATTTATTTATTTATTATTAATTGGAATATCTCTATTGATAATTTATTGACATTATTCGGATCGATTTTTTCACAAATTGATATTTCTATTCAATTAATAAAAATATTCATAACACAATAAAAGAAAAATATCGAGAGAAAAAACATTAAAATTTGTTACTTAGGATGTTTGATATGCTTTTATTTTGTGAATTATTGTTTAAATCATATTCCAAAAACTTAACTGAATTTTTATGTTAACTGTAACATGTCTTATTTGGAAAAAGTTCTACTTCTTTTTTTGTCAAACTATACATAGTAAATAGAGTTACCAAGTCTTTCGGATTTTTCTGCATTTAGATTTTCACCTTCTTAATCAGTCCAAAAGACAAAAATAGTTTTTCCTTCATTCGATCATAAAACATTTTATACGATGATAAACAAAATCGCATGGCAATAGAACTCATTGCAACTGAATTAAAATTTCATTTGAACTCATCTGTATTTCGTACAGAAGTTTATAATTAGTTCTTATCAAAGTCAGAAATGTTGACACTTATTTTATTTTAATGAAAAATATTGTAGCACAGAACAACGTGTTTATTGATATCAAACTTTCGTTTCATTGAAAGTTATTTTGCATAGATAAAGGATAAAGTTATTGATAATCGGGTTGAAAAAAAATCGTACTTTGACCAATTAAAGCTAATCCATAAAAATTTTATTAGTTTTTTTCTGAATTTCAAAAAAGAAATTCCAGAATTTTCCAGATTCTGACATGCTCATTCCAATTTTTTAATACTGAAACTTTTCATGTACAAAAATTAGAGTTAAAATCGAAATTTCATCGATTATTATGATTAATTTCAATAATAATCGATTAGGATGTGAATGTAGGCGTAAGTGTTGTTGTATGTGAAAACCATAACTGAACTCACACCCACATCCTATCTTAACCTATAACTATGAGTAAATTTGGAAATTACTACTCTCTCGCTTGAGCATCTGATTGTATTTCCTTGGAAATTTCCAATTGATGTCATTTTTAATAGATATGATCGATGATTTATCTTTTATTTCTCTTTCCAAGTTATTCATACAAGTTAAAGATGCACGCATGATTAATCAGTTTGATAGAAGCATTTTTTGTCCAAACTTTTACTATGTATCCTATGTGGAGCTAGAAATAAATCTCAATTGAATTTTTGTTTTACTGAAAATTCATCTATTATAATTTTGTACTTTCAATTCATATAAATGACAATAATTTGGATATCTAAAGAATGTCAATATATGGTAGATCGATATTTCAGCTTGAAATACTTGAAATAAATAAATGATTTACATATAAATTGAACTAATTATTTTGTTTTTGGTTATTGGAATTTTTGAATCTGTTATAGTTGATGCTTAAAAAAATTCGACTAGGAAATCATATTCAACATGTACTTCTGATTATTAATGTAGATTGATATATATTTCTATTTCTGATTTATTCATTGTGAAATTTGTATAAAGTTTTATCATATATTTTTTTTAATCAAAAAAAATACCATTTCTACTTTCCTTTTTTGCGTTCTGCGTTTTTTTTTTTTGTCAGTGAGTCATTGATATAAATTTTCAGCTGGCTTGACATCTACATGGTATGCATAGCCACGTGGTATAACACGAACGCAAAGAAAGAGAAGGAAAAATCCAACCGCAACTTTTTATTTAACTATTTTATCTAGTTCTATTTACTACTGATACAAATCTAGTTACCATTTACGGCAAATAAATAAAAATTTAAAAAACAAAAAAGTCTAATTGATATCAGTTTCATTTATGTATGTTCTCGGTTCTGTGGAGTGAATCAAAGTTCGCTACATTGTAAACGCGAGCTTAAAGGCATTCCATCGACAGTAATGGACTTTGGTCCACGTGTTTTGTTTTGTTTTTGTTCACTTCATGCAACCTAATTTTTTTTCGTTGTTTATTATAAAGATGAGTCAGTTAGATGAATTATTGCATCATTTCAAAATTTCCCAGTTAATAGATGGAGTCAAATAAAAAACGGACTCATTGATATCTACAATGTACTTATCTGATTGTTGAGGAAAAATGAAAAGAAAAGAAATATCACTCTTTCTCTTTCTCTCGCCTACATTTGTATATAAGAACTTTTATTTTACATACATATAATCAAAAGAAGACAGAAAAAAATATTGTTTTTCTCTGTTATTGCATCATTCAGCCACGTCATTAGAAGATTCTAGCACGAATATCTAACTGAATGATTTCTCAAAGAAAAAAAAAGCAACAATACGAAGAAGAAAATTATATTATTCTCTTATATGGATTTATACCGAATGACTTCGACTTTTTCTTCGATTCTTTACACACTTTTTCAAACATAAACATTTAAATTTTTTTGTTCATGACAAAATTAAATTAAAAAATTTCTATTACTAGCCCATATATTTCTAATTTGCTATGAATAATACATCCATTATTGTCTTATTGATCTATGCGTACCTCTTTTCGTTGCATATACAGTAGGTTTTTTCTTCTTCTTTCCTTCCTTACGCGAGTCCGTCGGATGGAAATACTTATTAACGGCATTACTCATCATACCGTGTTCTCCCTATATAAGTCATTGCAATAAGCATTCACATTCACTTTCAGATTGTCAACGAACAAAGACATATATACACGCATTCAATTTCATCTAAAATAATAATTATTATTATGACTGAAACAATATATAAATACAAGAGTGATCAACATACAATTGAATCAATGTTTAATAATGGTCAAGATAAACAATATTTATTTTATGAACGGAAAAATATAATAGATGATAATGATGATTCAGGTACTGAAGGAATTGAACAACAACTTGAACATATTTCTATAATAAAAGTCAATGATAATGAAGATCAATTATCAATAAAATCTTTTGGTCCTAATCTTGATGAAGGTTTTTCCGAAACTGAAATTCAAGATGAATCAAAACTTGAACTTATTAAAAAACATCGTAAGTGGGAAAAATTTGTTATGTCATAATATAAAATGTTGTTTTGTTGTTGTTTTTTTCAGTTGAACTTGCAAACAACATTCCGAATGATACGAAAAAGGATTTTTGTTTAGATACACAAGTAGTATTTCATGGTGAATTTGCTCGACTTATTTCAATGCCATTATCATTATATTACAATGTTCATTATAAACTTTTTTCTGAAGAAGAATTCGTCAATGTACCACATATGAATTTAAATTTTCTATGTCTTACACTTGATAATGTTAAAGTACGATTTAATTGTTCAGATAGATTTTGTCAACGTATATGGACATCAATGCGAGGTCGAATTTCATTTTTAATTAGTTTACCATCTATTGGATTTATTGTACTTAAAATTTATGGACAAGATTGTCTACAATGTGGTGCA